TTGAGACTTTGATGTCTCATTACTCATCTCCATTATGTTCGTCAAATCGGACACTTTCTCTCCATCTCACTCTTTTGGGCAGAAATTGTGTGTTCCACTCTTCAGCTCTTCATGGTGATCTCTTTCCTCTGCCTGGGTATCAGAAAACCGCTGAACCAGATCCAACTCGTTCAGTATGGTTATTTTGACAATTAAAAACAACTAATAAAACTGAAATCAAAAAACAAAAAGACTAACCATGTTGCTATACGATCAGAGCTCCCAGCGTCCATGGAGAGAGAGACAAAAGAGAGAAACAGAGAAGAGAATGAAGAAAGAGAGAAGAAATAGGTGAAAGATTAAAATTTGAAGGCAAAGTCGGAGTTGCTGAATGACGAAGGGGTATTGTGCCAGTCCCATTTACTAAATATGAACGGCTAACGATTTTGGTGAAAGTGCTTGACTTTCTACACTTCTGCCCTAATAAAAAAATTTGTTTCTTTGCATATAATGACTTACTTAAAATGGACTTCAGAAGAGAAGAACAAGAGTGAGAAAGAAGAAGTTGAAGACCATAAGTACGCAAAAAAAAAAAGAGAAAAGGAAGAAGAATGACTTTCTCGTCTAGGAGCATGATTATAAGATAAGCTCGATTGATTGACAAGAAAAAAAGAAGAAGATAGAGTCCATCAAGAAAACAACTTTGAAGTTCGGACATTTTGTACTGCTAATTTAACAAATACTCGAAAAAGAAGGAAAATTAAGAGAAAAACTAACTTTTCACACATTCCTCCGCTGCATTCACGTTATAAAACACGCATGATCACAATTTAAATATGAAAAATTAACCTTTCACACATTCTCCTCCTGTGCTCACCATCATTGTCCCTTCCAAAAAGGGAACCAATCCCTTCTTTCAGTGAAACTTTATTCCTTCTTCTCCAGCGACTACTTGGAACCCTAAAGGCTCCACCAAGTGCTTCATGACATTCGTCAATTTCCTCTTATGTTCAATTTTCAATTCCAACATATGTTTTTCAACAAGTTACTTTTCCATGTGAATTATCATGTAGTAGAGTTCTCCTCTAACCTCTGAAATATCATACATAGGTGTCAAAAAAGAATAATATGAAAAGATTTTTTTTCTCTTCACGTGAGAATAAATATGAAGCGAATACCTTATGCTTTTCAGCCAGTTTCAAGACTCTTTCGGCTTTTTGTAATTTAGAGTAGCCAATTCGAGTGGACGATTGTCCAAGACATTCTGATGTAAAAAAGAAGTTAGCATGCAGTCAACATTCCATTCATGAAGATCACAGAAGTAGAAACTCGTAAAATTCTGAGACTTTGATGTCTCATTACTCATTTCCATTATGTTCATCAAATCGGGCATTTCCTCTCACTCTTTCTTTTTTGGGTAGAAAGGGTGTGTTCCACTCTTCAGCTCTTCATGGTGATCTCTTTCCACTGCTTTGGTACCAGAAAACCGCTAAATCATATCCAACTTGTTCAATATAGGTATTTTGACAACTAAAAACAATTAATAGAACCGAAAACAACAAACGAAAATACTAACCTTGTTACTACGTAATCAAAGCGCCCAACGTCCACGGAGAGAGAGACAAAAGAGAGAAACGGTGAAGAGAATGGAGAAAGAGGGAGAAGAAATAGGCGAAAGACTAAAATTTAAAGGCAAAGTCGAAGTTGCTGAATGACGGATGGGTGCTCTGCCGGTCTCATTTACCAAATATAAACGGTTAACGATTTTGGTGAAAGTGTTTGACTTTCTACTCTTCCACCCTAATAATAAAATTTGTCTCTTTGCATATAATGGCTTACTTAAAATGGATATTAGAAGAGAAGAAGAAGAGTGAGATAAGCATTATACTAAACAAAGAAAGAAGAAGTTAGAGATCGGAAGTACAGAAAAAAAGAAAAGGAAAAAAGAATGGCTTTCTCATCTAAGAGCATGATTATAAGGTAAGCTCTATCGATTAAAAAGAAAGTAAAAAAGAAGACAGACTCCATTAAGAAAACAACTTTGGAGTTCGGACATTTTGTATTGCTAATTCAATAAATACTCGAAAAAGAAGGAAAATTAAGAGAGAAATTAACCTTTTACACATTCCCCTCTTGCGTTCATGTTATAAAACAGGCATTATCACAAGTTAAACATGAAAAATTAACCTTTCATACATTCCCCTCCTTCGCTTACCATCATTGTCCCTTCCAAAAAGAGAACCAATCCCTTCTTCCAACGAAACTCTTCTCTCTTTTCCCTCGACTACTTGGACCTCTAGAGGCTCTACTAGGTGCTTCATGACATTCAACAATCCCTTCATATGTGCAATTTCCAATTTTAACATATGTTTTTCAACAAGCTGCTTTTCCATGTGAATTATTATGCAGTAGAATCCTCCCTCTTGCCTCTTCTTTATCCTTTTCATTTATCTAAAAAAGCAAGAAAAACCTTTAAATAAAATTCAGGTGTCAACATATTAAAGTTATTGGATGATAAATAGTAATATGATGATATGCATGCTAGGAATTTAGTTTGATTTTGATTTTATTTGTGAAGTTGGTAAAAGATGTTGGCTGCTAAAGAATTCTACTTTTTAGATTAATGTTAAATTTTCAGAGTCAACTTTTTAATCACTTCTTTGTTTGTGAATTTCAAAAGCATATTTATACACTTAACTTTTAACTTTATTGCTGAAAAATCAATTCCATCTCCATAAATCATTAAAAAACAATGTAATTGTTACCATACTATGTCAGTTGATGAAATTACTTATTTTCTTGGGTTCTAATAAGGGCGAAAACAAAACCAGGCCCACATCCAGGCAACAGACCCGCAAGATGCCTCCCCTAAGATAAGCTAAGGCAAGCCCAAACTCTAGTGATATAAGAAGGGAGCGAATTGAGGGATGAATTCCGAGTATTCGACTTCTAAGACTTCTACAGATTTCATTGGCTTTTTTTCTCTGTGAAGTGAAGGCATTATATATGATGGATACCATGCGATGTAACTGATTAATCAAAAGGGAGAGAACGAGGATGCATCGGGTAAGAAATAGTGATGTGTCAGTCACACCGCATCGTCACTGCCCCATGATGTATCTATTTCACAAAACCTTTTTCGAAATGAAGGGTTCGAATCTCACTAAGGGTGCGTTTGTTTCTGGGACAGTGTTTTCCGGGAATCCGTTTTCCGGACTTTCATATGTTTGGTTCGTCAAAAATGATTAATCAGCCAAAAACACTTTCCGATAAAAAAAAAACATTTATGTATAAAATTAGGAAAATGAATTTCTTAATTTAAGAAGGTGAAAACAATTTTTGGAATTGCTTCACTTGACTTTTTTAATATTTTATTCTTTTCTTTCTTTTCTTTTTTTATTTTTAAAAATAAAAATATTAAAAAATTCGAAATTATTTTTTTGCTTGAGATAAAATCATGGGATTGAAATCATTTTCCAAATGAGATCCAAACACCATAAAACATTTTCGATCACATATCACTAAACAAAAGAAAACTAACTATTTTCTTGAAAAATGATTTTTTGAAAAATATTTTCCAAAAGCGTTACGTTTTCCGTGAAACAAATGTACCCTGAGAAGGAATCTATTCTTTTTTCTCTTTTTGTGCATGCGATTATTTTTTTAAATAAATGTTTTTCCTATGGTTACTTTTTCTCGAAACGAACACACTTGAAATACCCATCTATTCTTCCATTAGAAACATCTCCGGTTATAAGCTTTGTGAAAGAAAACGGTATCACCTTACTACGCTTTTAAGTACCCAAAAGGCATGGGTCAACATTCAGCAAGTACGAGCTGCAAGAGAAGGGTTTCCCCTAATATGGAAAAATGAAATATCCCCAAAAGAAAACCCATCAACTCCACAATGCCAGTGTTAATTACACAGCATCAACCGATACAGTTCCATTATGATGGTTGCGATCTTCTCAGTCTAGTGATGGGAAAATTAGCAAAAAAATCCTAAACCTATTACAATTGTGTCAATTCAGTCCAAAACCTTTTTTTTTGGCCAATTTAGTTCTAAACCTTTTGCAATTGTACCAATTCAGTCCATCCGGCCACTTTTGGCCGGCCGGTGCTGACGTAGACGCCGGCCACCTAACATGGCAATATTTTAATTTTTTTTTTCGAATTTTATTTCCTCTCTTTTTTTTTCTTTTCCTTCTTCCCCCTGGCCAGACCGGCCAGGGGGAGGCTCGCCGGCAAGGTGACCTCACCGGCCACTGGGGAGGCTCGCCCAGCTCAGGTGAAGGCGGAGCTCGCCATGATTGGGCGAGCTCTGCCCTCGCCCAGATCTAGCGAGGTCGAGCTTCGTCATGGCTGTGGGTGAGGTCGAGCTTGCCCAGCCATGACGAGCTCCGCCCTCGCCTTGCCCAACGACGGCGAGATCTCGCCAGCCCTAGCCCCTGGCCGGTCCGGGGGAAGAAGGAAAGGCCAAAAAAACAAACGTAGAAAGGAAAAAAAAAATTTGAGCTCCGCCCTCGCCAATGCCGGCGAGGGAGAGCCTTGCTGTCGTACAGCCATGGCAAGGCTCGATCTCGACAGATTTGGGCAAAGTCGAGCTTGTCTAGCGGCGGCGAGGGCAGAGCTCGCCATGGCTGGGCGAGCCTCGCCATGGCTGGGCGAGCCTCGCCGTCGCACAGCCATGGCGAGCTCTGCCCTCGCTGCCGCTGGGCGAGGCTCAACCTCGCCAGATCTGGCGAGGTTAAGCTTGCCCAGCGGCGGCGAGAGCAAAGCTCTTGCCTAGCCATGGCGAGATCCTCCCTCGTGGTCCTCACCGGTGCCTGCGAGGGCAAGCCTCACCGTCGCACAGCCATGGCCATATCTCGTAAGACCAAAAGTACCAACAATTGATCGCATATTAGTCCGTATCCTGCGATGATACGATATGAACCTATGATCACCAGACAAGCTTGGAGCATGTCCTTCAGAAACAAGATTTTATCAACTGCATCAATAAAGTCGAAAGAGGATATGCCTAAAGTACCAACAGACACGTTTATATAAATTTTGGGCAAGACAACCTGAATGACAATGTTCTTTCCCCACGGAGCATCCCAAAGAAAAAATGAGTTGGATAGAATATGGGAACTGATCTGAATGGGAACATTGACCTGCTCCCTCCAGAAATGGAGTGAGCAATGCCCACTAAGTAGCACTGCCACAACTTGGCTTCCATCTCCTTCCAATGGAAAAGCCATCCATTTTCACTGCCTTCAATTTCCGTTACTCTCAACAATAGGAGAGAATATAGTCCCTCATATTCATTCCTCCACCTCCATTCTCGTTAAAATTCATGCATTCTCAGACCCAAACACAGTGTAAGAAAACATTCTAGTATGCAATATCAAGCCTACCTAAATCAATTTCAACAATGCAAAATCTAAAACCAGAAGGTAAACTTACTATAGAGGGTAACACGTTGACGTAGTGTTGATTCTGTGTAGCCAATTTCAGCTTCTCATTGATGGGACCACCATCCACAACCAGAATTTTCTTAGTGTTCTCCATTTGCTTGACATAGTTTAAGATGTTCTTTGTCTTGTGTGTTGGGATCTCCACATCGTCAAATACCAGAAGCTGTGCAATTTTCAATAGCCAGGAAATACTATATCAAATATACAGCATAGATAGAGAAAAGAAAAGGAAGATTTCAATATAGAATGGGATCATTTTGAGGCATAGTGGTAATGAAGAGCAGTAAAGAGTTCAACATAACAAGTACCAAAGCAAAAGGTTGCTGAATAGCAAGATGGTAAAAAAAATAATCGAATGATTGGGTCTATTTTGAATGTCTTTTACATTTTCTTTTTCTTTAGTGTATGAAGTTTAATTTTACTTAATGTCGAATAACTGAAAGCCCAAAACCTTTCAAAAGACATATTGATATGTACGCCGTTTAGAATTTTTCCCTACTTTGCTAATATTAATTTTTTATTTTATTTTCAATATCTTGAAGGGAAAGCAAAAGGTTCATATCCAATAAAAACAGACCCTAAATCTCAAGATACTGCTCCTCACAAAAAGGAGAAGGTCATAAGCACAAGGATAATGAAGTAGGCAAGGCACGGACTCTAGGACATTACAAGTAAGACAAACTTGATTACAGAATTATCATCACTGCTTAGATGCCTTGAGTCGAACCCCACAGGTTTACCATATCAAACGATCGACAAGTAAAAAATTGAAGAGCAGTGAGACAGATTCACCTTTCCTTCCCCCGCCCGTGCAGAGAGAGCTATCTTCAGCCCCAGGCGCCTAACCTTTTTATTGATCTTAATAGCATGGCTTCGTGGCTTTGGGCCATGCATTGTAGCACCACCTCTAAACTGTCATCCAAAATTTGCTTGTCATATTTTACATACACCATTTTAGTAAATCAGACCTCTATAACAATTAGGCAAAACATAACCAAACCTGGGGCCCACGCTGAGAACCATGCCTTGCTCGACCAGTGCCCTTCTGTCGCCATGGTTTTTTGCCTGTTCCACTGACCTCACTAATTGTTTTAGTTGAATGCGTACCCTGTAGATCAACCAGTCAACATAATAAAAAATCCCCACAGAAGCTTCTCAGAGCAGTAAACGCATTCAGCATTCTAAAACTCTGAGAAAATAAAATAACTTATTCAATGGGAAGATAGTAGTATATCAATGGTTTCTCATTCTTCTACAATATTTTAGATGCTTCTCAGAGCAGTAAATAAAATTCGAAGTGTTATTCAGTAGATCAAGCTATGCTATGAATTAATTTACAGCAAATACAGACACCAGATTTCAGAGTGCGTAAGATTGTTGTACAAAACCTGTTGTCGTTTTGCAAGCTGCCATCTCACAACACGATGAATAATATCTTTTCTTACAGGTACATCAAAAACATCTCCAGCTAAGACCATCAAGCCCTTATCTTCACCAAGAAAGTTCGTCACTGGAATTACAAGGTCCTGGTAAAGTCCTGAAAGAACGTCTTATGAGTATACTACTACGGCGAATAAGCAGAATGCTGATATCTCCCCATTGAAAAGCAAATATAACGGATAAGCCACTATAGAATATCCTGCATTCACTTAACAATCATGAAAATCATTTTAATACATGAAATATTCAAGGAAATATATTCTTGAGAACTCTTATAACATTATTAGTTCTGCAAGACATTTCAAACCTCTGGACCAATTCATGCTTTGCCTTGTTTCCTAAGCAATTCGTGGCTTATTTTTCTACATTTCAAGTTGCATTTCCAAGGGCTATCGACACATGTAAAAGATGGTCATTATAATTCTCTGTATCTTTTACAAGAAAGACACTGTAAAGCACATTTCATCCATACCTATCTCGCGATCAGGCACGATTACTTCCTTCTTGGACAATAAGTCAGAAGGGAAGTCAGCTTCACCATTAGGAGTCAGTATTGAGGTTGATAGCCTTCGACGACCAAAGAAAAAAGCACCGTCCTACACACAGTTACATAAAACACACCCCGATGTCAAGAGTCAAAGCTAAGGATGGCCTTATCTCATGTTCATCAATCAACTGCTATACTCTAGACAGTAGAAAGTAAGACAACCCAAGTCTGCTTCTTCAATAGGAAGAAACCACTAAGGTTATAGAGCAAAGCCGAGAGCCCATTCAAAGACAAATAATAAAGAAATTGAAACAACCAAAATTATGATTTCACTCGCAATACACCATCGAAAGCATTTGATCGAGTAAAATCCGCGGAGCAAAGAACCATTCGCGGCCGAAACCGAGCCGACATGCCTCCACTGGCCCAACGGCCCGAGCGACCGCAACACCCTCCTGGAAATCGACAATGCCATGTCCCTAACTTCGTCGGGAACCGTCAACTCCTCCTCATCTGCCGCCAAGCAGAACAAAGCAACAGCCGCCATAAGAACGAAACTTCCACCGCTTTCCCTGAATCATTTCCAGCATCGCACACGCTCGAATCGGCGAATACATCCGGATGCATTCACCGGAAAACGGGAAAGCCGGCGGATCGATTCAGCTGAAACCCAACAGAGTTCAGGCTTAAGCGAGCGAGCGAGCGAGAGAGAGAGCTTACCGGAAGCTCCGTGCGGCGGCGGCAGGCGGCGATGGACTGACGGCTGAACCTGAGTTCGGGCAGGAAGGGAGGGAGCGAGCGTTGCAGGGAAGGAGGAGAGAAACCCCAGTCGCCAGCCAAGTTTTCAAAAACCCTGCTTTGCTCAGATTGGACTATTCAGTATTCACCTCTAAAAGCCCATCAAAGAAAGGATTATGGGGCGGGCCGGAGTTGGTGTTGGGCGTTAAAGTCTTGCTCATATTTACTTATTTTTCGTATTCTTGTATTTTCTCTCACTCGTGCAACTATCTGATTTAGGTCATCGAACTGAATGATGAATTTAAAAAAAAGAAAAGGAGATATCTATTCAATTTCTTTTCGAAAAAGAAAGGAATAAAGAGAACAAAAGTTTCCAATTTAACGAATGCGCACGTGGAGATATTGATGAACACACGAAGAGTTAATGGTATTTCATAGCAAATCAATTGAGCAGCGGCTTGTAGACTCCCTGGAAAGGAATTCTGACCTAAGAAGTCCAATGGGAGCAATACTGAAAATGGCAATTCTTAAAAAAAACACCGATATTGAGATCGGATAAAACAATGTGATAACTAAAAGGAATTACTGAATAACTTGGTGAAACTGATATAACGCTGTGGATAAATGAGTATCTCCTCTAAATGGAAAAATATTTTCTATGAAAATAAGTTTCGTCCCATCTGCCAAAGCTTGAAGAATTCTCGAAGGATCGGCATATTCAGGACCAATACGGTGTCGTATTCCCGTAGATATTTCTCTTTCTCAAGAGTCAAAACAGGTAAGAACATCACCATGATTCCATATACTTCTTTTACAGATTTCAATCTAGAAAAAGAATTTTTATCTTATGCTTTTGTTGTATCAGGTCTTTTGGACATTTTTACCCTAGCCTAAAGCTTACGCCCGAACCAAAAAGGACGGGCCAAAGCCCGAGAGCCTTTTCCTTCTTGTTTAGACACATAACAAAGCAATTTTCAAACTAGTATCAAGTTTTTATCTAATCATCAAGAGCCACTTAGAGGTGAGCAGTTCCGGTTCCTTATAGGTTCTACCTGGAACCTGGAACCTACTATCGAGTACAAGTTCCTCATTTTTTGAAACTTGGAACCTACCCGTCGGAACTTGGAACCTGGAACCTATCCTGTCACAGGTTCCAAGATAAGTTCCAAAGTCTAATAGGTTCTTTTTTTATTTCATTTTTAATTAAACGAAACGAAAATGAATGCAACAATACTAAAGAAGCTTGTCATTTACCAAAGAGAATACAAAGACTAGTTGTCCTGGCATTACGGTTTAAATAAATACAATTAAAATGAGAAATCATTGCGTGAATCGATACTAGGGGTGAGTGGTTCCATGTTTCGTATAGGTTCCACCTGAAACCTACCCATAAAAATAGGTTCTTCATTTTTTGAAATTTGGAACCTACCTTATCAAAAGTTCCAGGTTGGTTCTAGGGTCTATTCAGGTTTCATCTGTATTATTAATTGAACAATTGCAATAAATCATCACTTTTAATGACCATCACTTGTTGTTATGATCTACTGACCACAACTTATATTTAGACATACGAAGAATATGAAACATTAACAAGTCATAAAATGAAAGCTCGGACTAGTGATTTCAGATTATACACTCATCATCTAATGCCATGAAACACCACATGATCATATAAAAACATAGACCAAGAAAAAATACAAAAAACTTACTTAGGTTTCAAGTTCCAGGTTCCAGGTTCTAGATAGGTGTACCTAGAACCTGGAACCTACCCGTTGAAATAGGTTTCCCAATTTTTAGAACCTGGAACCTACCCTGCATATCTTGAAACCTAGAAGCTACAAGTTCCTATCGGTCAGGTTCTTAGGTTCCAGGCTAGAACCTGAAACCATGCTCACCCCTAAAGCCACTTCACATAAAAAGAGTGGAGAAAAAACTAACACAGATAAAGATAAAACTTAATTATTAAAATACTTGTGATATCAATTATTCAACATAAGTTATTTATGATGTCGAAAATTATACATTAAAAGGCGAAAAAAAAAATTTCGAGTCAATTTATGAAGCTTAAAAGTATGTTTTGCTAATTGGGGAAAAATAGTGACAAATAGAGAAGTCGAAATCAATTACTAGATATGTTTGTTAAAATGCAATCTATCTATGATATCAACAGCAGATATAAGAATAGTTAAGTTTAGGAATATCAACACTGGTTCACTAGTTCAGCCATCATGGAAGCTACAGAAGTGTTGGAGAAGTTATTGAAGCAATTGTTGCTTCCCATCATACTCCGTGACCCAGTTGTTAATTGGGTTTTATCTTACATTATTACTTTGAAATTTTGTGCTTGGTCCTATATCAACATTCTCTAGTTTGGGTTATATAGATGCACCTAGAAAGTGGCCTTGGACCTCAAATTGATCATTGGAGGGATAAGGACACTAGAAGTGCCATAACTTTTATACGGCGCTCACTTGAGTGCCATAACTTTTTTTTGGCTCACTTGACTGCCACATCGGAGTAAAATAGATTATTTGAGTGCCACTTCCGGCGAAAATAGATCACTTGAGTGTCATTTCCAGCAAATGGACTGACATGAATTTTTTAATTAATTTTTCAATCCGACGTGGATTTTTTTAATGTAATTTTATTTTATTTTATTGATTTTTTAATTTTAATTTTTTTTTCTTTTTTCAAGGTTGGCGAGGGTCATCGGTGACCCTCGCCGGCGGCCGTCTCACCTGTGGCCACGAAGGCTCTCGCCAAATCCGGCAAGGTCGCCTCGCCCGCGGCCGCGAACGCCCTTGGCGAGGCCATCATGGCCTCACTGGCGGCGGGCACGGCGGTGAAGGCTCTTGCCAGATCCGGCGAGGCCGCCTTGCCCGCGGCTGCGAAAACCCTTGGCAAGGCCATCGCGGCCTTGCTGGCGTGGATGAAGTGGCGAGGCCCTCGCCCGTAGCGGTGAAGGTTTTCACCAGATCTGGCGAGGCCGCCTCGCCTGCGGTCGGCGAGATAGCCTTCGCGGCCTCACCCAGGGCCTTCGTGCCAAGGGCATGGCGGCCCTTTCCCAATCTGGGCGAGGCCTTCATAGCCGGAATTGACAAAAAAAGTTGCAAAAATAAAAAAATTAATAATAAAAAAATTCAAAAAATCAAAAAAATATTAAAAATTATCAACGTTAGCTCCGGCGAAGCCACATCAGATTTTCCGGCTGCCAAATGGCATTTGGCACTTAAGTGATTACTTTTTCAAATTTTTGGCATTTAAGTGAGCAAAAAAAAAGTTATGATACTCAAGTGAGCGCTGTACAAAAGTTATGGCACTTCGAGTGTCCTTATCCCATCATTAGAGGTCAAGAACTGACTACTATCTACATCTAGAGGATAGCTATTGGAAGATGATTCCGGAGAATGTTTTTTTTTTTTCACTAAATCTTGGACAAACACTATGCAATTTAATTTATTTCTTGGATATTTCTTGGACAAACACTATGTTATTAATTTACACATCTTATATTTGTTCTTAAATAAAGATGAGGGTGAGCATTTTATCGTGCATTTCAATTCTTGAATGTGAATCTTGGGTAATACATATTGGCAAAAATTGTGACTAGAGTTTAGATTTGGCAAATAATGTTTTCTTTGCGTCGAATTTAAAGCCAGATGCAAATCAAATTATCGGAGAACAGCACCATACGAGGTAGATATGTTTGTTTCTAAAATCATATTCTAATTATTTTTCCTGAAAAGATCACTATAGGAGATGACTATCTCGGACTATTAAAATGAGACATTGGAACTAAGTCTTTTTTGGTCGAAACATTGGAACTAATTAATTTGCCACAAAATATAACAATATGAGACGGATATATTTTCCTTTAAAGAAAAGATTCGACAAGTAATTAATTTGTCACAAAAAATGCCAATTTAAGGCAATTTGTTTGCTCTTAAAGGGAGTTATAAAAGCAAAAGGATTTGAGAGGTTCTGAATTTTTTTTAAAAAAAAGGAATAAGTGTATTAAAAAGAAGTCTTAAAATTTATCACGAAAGTGTAATTTATTCTTATAACTTTTCAAAAGTGTAATTAAGCCCTAAAACTTATTACGAAAGTGCAATCGAGTCATAAAACTTTAAAAAAGTGCAATCTAATCCTAGAACTTATCAAATTGATCCAATCAAGTCATTCCGTTGTAGGACTCGATTACACTTTCATGACAAATTTTAAAACTTGATTGTACCTTTTGAATGTTTGATGACTTGATTGCATTTTCATGATAAGTTTTAGGATTTTTGGTGCACTTATCGCGTTAAATTTTTTTTTAAAGAATAATCTACCCTAACACAAATATTTCGTATTTCCAGAACATTTTTCCCTTCTTATTTACCAACCGACCGACCTTTTGAAACGCGGGAACACCCCCAAGACCCACCAGTTGATTTCCTCGGATGCTCCGAAAAAATCCTCAAAGCCGAACGCATAAAGCAATGGGGAGATCTCGACATGACCCAAGAAGCGCTCCAAGCGCCACGGGGCCATGAGTTCGCTCAGAAGCATTGCGAAACACCCGAGCATCTGCCTGATCGATCCCTTCACCACCCCCCGAGAGCTCCTGCAAATCCACGCCCACCTCCTCCTCGGCGGCCTCCTCAACGAGCCCCGTTCTTGGGCCAATTCGTCACCGCCATCGCCCTCGGGAACCCCGAGAACCTCGAGCACTCCAGCCGGGTCCTCGATCGATGCGAGAACCCGACTGCTCGGCTTGAATTCCATGATCGGGTCCATTCCAAGAGCCCGACCCCGAAGAGCTTCACT